TGTCTTTCCATTTTTTTATATGCATTTTTAATTTCTTTTTTCACTTTGATGGCTTTCCTTGTAGAGGTCTTTGACTTCTTTGGTAGAAATTCTTAAGACAAGAAGTCTTTCTGCCTTCGCAGGTGGCATCTTGAGGCTGTTGGATTCAGTCTGAGTTTTTTAATCAGAATCAGACAGAACAAAGTTAAAAGCAACTTTGGCAGATTTCTATCAACTTAGATGCTAAAATGAATGAGTAGGGACAGCAGGATCAAAGACGACTCTAGTGATTCCTTTAACCCTCTTTAAGGAAAGAAGAAACTTGGGAAAAAAGGCAATAGTCCCTCAAGTCTACTAGAAGAAAAGTATGTCATAACTGAATTTCATCCGTTCAGGCTTCATAGTGGCTGTGAGTGCAAATTAGTCAAAGAGTAGTATCAATATAAGTAATTGATTAATTCACCCTACATATTTTTTTCCTAAAACAACTTAAAATGTATGAGAAAAAACTGTTTATGAAAGGTCAGACAGCTAAATCAGTTTTCCTCTAAACAAGTCATTTGCTCCCTACATTCTTGCCAACATAAACTGAGTATAGTTTAAAGCTGAAAATAGACAATATTTTCTAGCATTCTTTATAGTTGAATCATAGGTGTTACAAAATACTAGTATTAACATGTACAAGTAAGTTATTTTAAGTAATCTTAAAGCACCTCTCTAGGATTAGCAAAATAAGAATGCATACAAATGTATGTTAGACTCTGCAGATAGCAAGCTAAACATGCTTCAAGCTTACTTTAATGAGAGACCATTTTAGCGGATGCTTCAACTTATTATCATATCAACCTTGGGAAGAGTTCTAGAACCAAGAATGAACAGAGGGATCCCTCACTTCTGTACTGACTTGGTGCTCAAGATGGTATTGGAACTTTGCATGTTGATGAGTATTTACTCTTTAGCTCATGATAACATTTCTTTAGGATTCATTACTGTGTTAAAGTAAGATCTGAAAGAACTTTTGTGCTAGGTCATTATAATCAGAATGATCAGAATTAATGCCATACTAAATATCAAAGGAAATAAAACTGAAATTGTTTTAGGGACACAATTATATGATATTTGTTCATGTGCTCTATAAGTAATGTTATTGTCTTCAATCCTTTCTCAAAGACCAAGTAAAAACTAAAAAAGTACTGGTTTATTGGTTATTCACTGAGAGTGAGTACCTGAAGGAGAAGGTTGTCCTTTTACTACGCCATTTTTAGTTTTTTCTTCTGAATTCATTACTTCCTTGTAGATAAGCTCTGTAAGAAACATTCAGCTGTTTTATTATAAAAAACAAATTTCTCCTTAATTCACAGAAAAAATCATTAATGATAATAATAACATTTTAATGGGGGTTAAGTAAGTTAAAAAATAATTGAATTGCTTGACTCTTCTCTTTCTATATATTCCTGGCGATTAGCATAGACCTGGGCAAAAGTAGGTGTTCAATAAAGCACTTATATAACTAAATGTGTGAAAAATACACATTTCACTTGTTTTCTGAATTCTTTGGGACTTCTGATACTTCCTACCCTTATCTATGAAGGATTTTAATGGCTCCATTTTTGAACATTAATTTTCCTTTTATACCTACTCCTAAAGAGATACATATAGTTTCTTGACTTGAAATTATTATCAATCCTTACAGCTTTCCATTTCTTACTTTATCATTTTTCCAGCCTCATATCTTGAATTAGTAAATCTAAACTTGCCTAAAATCCAACACATTAAAATTTTATTTAATTCATTTTCAAACTAATATCTATTTTTTGCTTTTCATTGCTTAAGTTAAATTTGGATATCTTTGGTTCTTTTTGCTTTGCCCCCTTTAACTAAAACTCATTCAGCCCTATTCATTGTTACTTGACTACGGCTTACAATTTATATAATCATATTTTACAGCTATTTTTTTCTCCAATTTCTCACAATTTAGTCTACATTGTCCTCAGCTGATGGTAATAGCTTATGCTATTTGTGAATCCCTGAGTGCCTTCCTCTCCTTATTCACATCAAAGTAAGCGTTTTCCTTCTACCATCTGGCATTTCCTTTTATTTGACCCACTTTTTGTATGTGCTCATTTTTCCATATTTACTAACTTGATGATGATAGGACAATATGTTCTGACCATTATAGAAATTCTTCTGCATTTTTTTTCTTTGAGAGGTTTTTTTCTTTTCTTTTTCTTTCTTTTTTCTTTTTTACATTTATTCACTGTACAACATTACAGCGCACAAAATTAATTTTCTCATCCAGAATATACTGTATATTGGCTCTATCAAAGATATTATCATATATACTGTCTTCAAAACTTTCCTTTTTGTGTTTCTTAAATGTTTTACTTCTCTTTTTTCCCCTTGAGTCTCTCCCTCTCACCCTCTGTCATTTCCCACCCTCCTCCAACACTGTCTTGCTTCACTTACTAGTAAATCTTTTATATTTGTCCACTTTCTATAAAATACTAGGGTCTCATTATTTTTATGGCTGAGCAGTATTTTGTAGTGTACATGTGCCACACTTTTGCAATCCATTTGTCTGTTCGTGGACATTTGGGTTGGTTCCATGTCTTACCAATTGTGAATAATGCCACAATAATCATAGATTTGTAAGTGTTTTTTCGACTGAGTGCATCCCTATCCTTTGGGTAGATACCCAGGAGTGGAGTTACTGGATCATATGGTAGTTCTATTTGTAGGTCTGTAAGGAATTTCCGTATTGCTGTACTAATTTACATTCCCACCAATAGTGTAGAAGAGTTCTCTTTTCATCACAGTAGCTTCACCAGGACTTATCATTCTTTTTTTTTTAATCTTAGCCAATCTGACTGGGATTAAGTGGTATCTCATATGACTGATTTGCATCTTTGTGATAAGGAATATTGAGCATATTTTCATATGTTTCTTTAGCTGTTAGTATATCTTTCCTGAAGGGTTGTCTGTTCAGCTCATTTGCCCATCTTTTAATTGGGTTGATAATTTTTTTTTTTCAGGTGAGCTGTTTGAATTTCCTGTATATTTATTCTGTATATACCAGTCCCTTTTTTGAGGAGTAGTTTGCAAATACATTCTCCCATTCTCAGGGTGGTCAAGTCACTCTAGTTATTGTTTCTTTTGCTGGGCAGAAGCTTTTAACTTGATGTAATCCCACTTGTCTATTTTTGGGATAGACAAGTGCTTTGAGAGGGTCTTATTTAAGAAGTCTCTCCCTACTCCAAAGTCTCCAAGAGCTTCCCCAGTGTTTTCCACCAGTAGTTTTATAGTTTGCGGTCTTAGGCTGAGTATCTTTGATCCATTTGGAATTGATTTTTGGTAGAGGTGAGAGAAAGGGATCCAGTTTCATCTTTCTGCAGATGGATATCCAGTTTTTTCAGCACCATTTGCTGAAGAGATTTTCTTTTTTGCAATGGCTTGTCTGGTGCCCTTTTTTTAAAAATCAGTTGGCTATATGTTTTGGAGTTTATTTCTGGGGTCTCTGTTCTGTTCCATTGGCCTACATGCCTGTTTTGTGTCAGTACCATGCTGTTTTGATTATCAAAGCTTTGTAATGTAAGGTCAGGGAGTGAGATGCCTCCTACTCCCCACTCCACTCTTCTTGTGCATTATTGCTTTGCAATATGTGGTCTTTTATGATTCCAGACAAATTCCATGATTTTTTTTTCTAAATCTATAAAGACTGTCCTTGGTAATTTGATTGGGATTGCATTGAGTATGTAGATTAATTTGAGTAGAATTGACATTTTGATTATATTAGTTCTCCAATTCAAGAACATGGGATGTCTTTCCATTTTTTTATATGCATTTTTAATTTCTTTTTTCACTTTGATGGCTTTCCTTGTAGAGGTCTTTGACTTCTTTGGTAGAAATTCTTAAGACAAGAAGTCTTTCTGCCTTCGCAGGTGGCATCTTGAGGCTGTTGGATTCAGTCTGAGTTTTTTAATCAGAATCAGACAGAACAAAGTTAAAAGCAACTTTGGCAGATTTCTATCAACTTAGATGCTAAAATGAATGAGTAGGGACAGCAGGATCAAAGACGACTCTAGTGATTCCTTTAACCCTCTTTAAGGAAAGAAGAAACTTGGGAAAAAAGGCAATAGTCCCTCAAGTCTACTAGAAGAAAAGTATGTCATAACTGAATTTCATCCGTTCAGGCTTCATAGTGGCTGTGAGTGCAAATTAGTCAAAGAGTAGTATCAATATAAGTAATTGATTAATTCACCCTACATATTTTTTTCCTAAAACAACTTAAAATGTATGAGAAAAAACTGTTTATGAAAGGTCAGACAGCTAAATCAGTTTTCCTCTAAACAAGTCATTTGCTCCCTACATTCTTGCCAACATAAACTGAGTATAGTTTAAAGCTGAAAATAGACAATATTTTCTAGCATTCTTTATAGTTGAATCATAGGTGTTACAAAATACTAGTATTAACATGTACAAGTAAGTTATTTTAAGTAATCTTAAAGCACCTCTCTAGGATTAGCAAAATAAGAATGCATACAAATGTATGTTAGACTCTGCAGATAGCAAGCTAAACATGCTTCAAGCTTACTTTAATGAGAGACCATTTTAGCGGATGCTTCAACTTATTATCATATCAACCTTGGGAAGAGTTCTAGAACCAAGAATGAACAGAGGGATCCCTCACTTCTGTACTGACTTGGTGCTCAAGATGGTATTGGAACTTTGCATGTTGATGAGTATTTACTCTTTAGCTCATGATAACATTTCTTTAGGATTCATTACTGTGTTAAAGTAAGATCTGAAAGAACTTTTGTGCTAGGTCATTATAATCAGAATGATCAGAATTAATGCCATACTAAATATCAAAGGAAATAAAACTGAAATTGTTTTAGGGACACAATTATATGATATTTGTTCATGTGCTCTATAAGTAATGTTATTGTCTTCAATCCTTTCTCAAAGACCAAGTAAAAACTAAAAAAGTACTGGTTTATTGGTTATTCACTGAGAGTGAGTACCTGAAGGAGAAGGTTGTCCTTTTACTACGCCATTTTTAGTTTTTTCTTCTGAATTCATTACTTCCTTGTAGATAAGCTCTGTAAGAAACATTCAGCTGTTTTATTATAAAAAACAAATTTCTCCTTAATTCACAGAAAAAATCATTAATGATAATAATAACATTTTAATGGGGGTTAAGTAAGTTAAAAAATAATTGAATTGCTTGACTCTTCTCTTTCTATATATTCCTGGCGATTAGCATAGACCTGGGCAAAAGTAGGTGTTCAATAAAGCACTTATATAACTAAATGTGTGAAAAATACACATTTCACTTGTTTTCTGAATTCTTTGGGACTTCTGATACTTCCTACCCTTATCTATGAAGGATTTTAATGGCTCCATTTTTGAACATTAATTTTCCTTTTATACCTACTCCTAAAGAGATACATATAGTTTCTTGACTTGAAATTATTATCAATCCTTACAGCTTTCCATTTCTTACTTTATCATTTTTCCAGCCTCATATCTTGAATTAGTAAATCTAAACTTGCCTAAAATCCAACACATTAAAATTTTATTTAATTCATTTTCAAACTAATATCTATTTTTTGCTTTTCATTGCTTAAGTTAAATTTGGATATCTTTGGTTCTTTTTGCTTTGCCCCCTTTAACTAAAACTCATTCAGCCCTATTCATTGTTACTTGACTACGGCTTACAATTTATATAATCATATTTTACAGCTATTTTTTTCTCCAATTTCTCACAATTTAGTCTACATTGTCCTCAGCTGATGGTAATAGCTTATGCTATTTGTGAATCCCTGAGTGCCTTCCTCTCCTTATTCACATCAAAGTAAGCGTTTTCCTTCTACCATCTGGCATTTCCTTTTATTTGACCCACTTTTTGTATGTGCTCATTTTTCCATATTTACTAACTTGACCTCTGATCAGTGGAATTCTTTATTTTTATAACATTTTTGTGCTGATTTCCACCCTATGCTTTCTTTTGCATACCCCATCTGGCATTTTTGTTTGCTTATTTTATCCCAGTTTACATTTACTAATTCCTTCATGGTGGTACAACCCAACCACGAGAAAAATCATAGTGCCTCTGTATTGCACTTAGTCTCAGTGTCCATCTTAACAGATTAAACATCAGGAAAACTGGCCTTTAACTTCTGTAATTCACCTCCCTCAATATGTGGCCTTTTACCTCCCTCACAATAGATGGAGCCTAATGCTTAATCAATGGATGTTAACAATGACTTTACTGAATTTTTACAGACACCTGTCCATAGAGATAGGGAAGGGAAAAGTCTTACAAGTCTCCTTCCATGTGATTGGCTGAAATGATTTTATCAGTTTAAGCACTGCAAAGCCACACCTAGCTTCTAAACCAGGATCTAAGAGCTGTCTTGACTGACTGCATTTGCTTCTGCTTCCTTGTTAATAATTGCTTATCTTTAAGCCCCTTGCAAGAATAGAAAGCATTCTTCCCTGCCCCGCACGCCCTAACAGAAACTGCCGCTCAAGCAGTGATTGCTCCTGACACTCTCAGGTCTTCCTGTGATCCTGTCAAATACAGCAACCAGACATTCTTTCATTTTTGCCCCAAGACAATGAATAACTTGCCCTTTGTTTTTAAAATGTACCTGACATTGAGCTCTTCCTTTATATAAGTTTTGTATCTTGTCCAGTACTCTGGAAATGGTTTTGGACTCCAGTCTACTCTCTCCCAGGTGCTGGATTCACTGAATAAATTCCTTTCTTTATCCACCAAGTTCTGTCTCGTCAAGGCAAGCAGCAGGGGCTGATTTCAGGATCCCTGAATGAGGATCCCTACTCATTCTGGCATCGGTAGCTCAAAAGTTCCTTCTCTTCAGATCTTTCCTTTATGTCCCTCCCTCCTCATTTTAATCTGGTCATTTATGATCTACACTTGGTTTTTCATATTTATTTAACTCTGCAATTATTTATATTAGTTTAACAATTCTTTATAAGATTGACTAGTTTCTCTCGGCCTTGTTTCACCCTAGGTATAATTTGGAATATGTGTTTGGAAATGTTTTGTAAAAAAAAAAAAAAAAAGATAAATTAATGTGTATTTATTCTCATTTTTACTTTAAAAGTGAAATAACCCTTTTAAATATGTCCTATGTAAATGATCAAATCTTATAAATCCAGCAAATACACTAATGTATTAACTAGCTTTTTTATTTTTTTAAATTTAAAACGTTCTTGAACTTAATTTTATATTTCAACTGATAGTTTTATGTGTAAACATGGAAACTTAAATTCTGAAATGTTGAATTATAGCTTGTCCTCACCACAAAAAATACTTTGACAATCAGAACAATTTAAAATGGTATCAATAATTAACTCCTTTCATTCTTGAGCATATAAAATGTATTATTAGTATACAAAGATAAATGAAGTTTTAGGAGCTTTGAAAGTGGTATAAAAGGATAGAATTTAGAAAATCATACTTCAGTACATTGTTTTATAAGGCTTGAGGATACTTTTTGAGCTTTATTAAAGCAGAAAGTATAGTAAATAGAGTTACCTTTCCATTCTTCAATGGTGTGTTCTCTTTCATCCAACTGTTTGTCATATATCTGAGGTGGAGGCTGCAGAATAAAAATAAATAAATAAATAAATAAATAAATAAATAAATTTTATATGATCACCTGAATATAACTAAACTCTTACAAAGCATGATCATATCTTCTTATTCATTGATTTTGGTGTTGATCAGAGTCTTACATAAATTATATGGTAATTACGGTAGTTCAGAGTTTAAAATTTTCTCTCATAGTTACAGAGGATCCACTTATATTATAATATTTGCTGCTGGGTAATAAGGTAGCAGGACCCAAATCCTGAGAGGTCATCCCCAATACCTTCTGATTCAGAACCTATGCAAAACAGGCATTGGTTACAAGGGCCAGAAACTGCTCTTTCTTCCATTTATTTGTCTCTTAAGGCTTTAGAACTATACCAAAAATTATCACAGATAAGCTTCTGTTCTATAATTTATTTATTTTGAGGGGGATAGGTTTTTGCTATAGGGCACGTGTGCTCACCAGAAATACAGAGAGAGACAGAGACAGAAAGTGAGAAATCACCCCCCACCCCCAGGAAGGATGGCCATGCCACTATCTCTTCTTCTCCATTCTCTTCTCAGGATCATGGACACACACGCACACGCGCCCAGCAAGAGTTTAAGTCACTGGGTTTGGGTCTCAAACACTGATCGACTACATGGGAGTCTAGATACATAGCCATTATGCCAACAGCTGGTCCCAGATTCTGTTCTATTTTTAGAGTCCCTCTGAAGAGAGTCTATAATACCTCCCAATAGATCATAGTATCAGTCCCCAGTATAAAGATATATTTAGATCAAATCAAACTTTTATTTTTCTTGAAACATTATAAAACACCTATATATAGTTGTGTGTCTTCTCTTTAAATGGTTTTAAGAATGTTTTTCTTTCAGTCAGAAGATGTTGCCAGTTGGCTATAAAATGGGTCCCCCTAGATCCCCTGAGTTAGTTCTTGGTTAATCCTCTCTGAAATAAATGCTGTACCAAGGTCTTCAGTCTTATTAGGGAATCAGCATTCCTCTTCCTGCATGTAATTCTGATGTGAAAAGGAGAAATTGTCACAAATATATGTGCTTTAAATAAACTTCCTCATCTCTTCTTCCTGATGTTTGGTCATGGGGAGCTCTATCATGGTGGCTAGGTATTTCCAACTTAGCCCAAATGACATGGCTAGGAAAAACTCTTGGAACATAAATACCAAAAGGTAGGGAAGATGGGGCTGAGAAAACTACACTAGCTGGCACTGGAATAAGCACATAGAATAGCTGTACGACTTCCATGAGACAGGGACCCGAGTTCTCATCTAACACCTTGAGAGTGATATTTTTTATGAGAAATTAAAGAAATTACTCATAAGTGTAACTAAGACTATTAAGACATGGATCCTTCAAAAAGTTCTCTTTTAAGGAAGGCTTTGACAAGATTGTCAGAGACAGCCTCTGTCTTCTGTGAGAGATTCTTTGGCCAATGAGCAGCACCCTAGTGCCACAAAGCCCCCCAACCTTTCTTTAAAGAGGTTTTTGCCATAGGGCATGTGTGCTTGCCAGAAAGACAGAGACGGAGAGATAGAACACACTACAAATCTCTGAAAATCTGGATTGTGACAGACACAAATATTCATCTTAGCCTTGGAGTGTTGGGGCACCCTCATTTCCTCAGAAGTAGCTGATGTGAAAATAGAATACTTCACCCAGTTGTGGTGTGGTGTCTTAGCATAACACCGAGGTAATGAGAAATCACTACCACTAACGGGACTAGAATCTTTTAGCACCTGTAATTGCTACCAGGACAGAAGGCCTTAAACCAGTTACCAGGACTCAGAGGTGGCCAACTGAGCAGTTCTGGTCAGCACCAGGCAGCACCCTGACAACCACCGAAACTCCACAATACCCCATAGGACTAGGAGGAACACCAGAACATTGGCAATGTAAAGGTAAGGGGACAGAGTTGACTAGGATCCTAACTGAGGTGGGACCTTCTGCCTCAAACTATAAAAGATCCCCAAACAATAGAAAGGAATATTATACTTTTATTATGAATATTATGAATGAGTTAAATGAAGTTATTTTTTCAAGATTTGTGAAGTTGTTATCTAAATAGTTAATAACGCAAAGCCCATTTGGATCTGTGAAGATGCTTTGCTAGATGTCAAGTTTCCTGCTTCACCTTTTCCTGAGACAGTAATGCTGTGGCCCGGGCCTTGTCCAGGACCCTGCAGGATGCAGCATGCATGAGCTCTCAGAGCATCAAAGCTCTGTGTTGTTGGCACCTCTTTCTTCTAACAATAAACCCAGCTCAGAATCCTGCGTGACTAGCTTCTCCATGCAGTGGATTTTTCCATTCAAGTTTCAAAATTGAACATGGCTCAAGAGTACAGTTCCTGCCAAAGTTCATAAATGCCATTTTCCTTTTGCAACAAAGCTATTTTGAGAAAGTTTTCCTTGGAGCTTTGGCAGAAAGCTATTGCTGATGTATAAAGCATGAGGTACATAGACTCTAACCACAAGCAAACTACAAAGAGAGAAAGAAAAGTACTGAGTCTAAGAATTTTCTTTTTAATAAATCAAGAAGGTTGATTTAAGCACACTTGCATTTCAAGTTATTATTCGAGGGCTTCTGCAAATGGACTATATGCTCAGTTTTTGGTTTTTTTTTTTTTTTTTTTTTTGAAGAGGGGATGTAAATGTCACCTATAGTAAAATACAGAAAACAGAAAGTGGTAGTGGTCATGGTGGTGTGTGTGCATGTGTGTGTGTGTGAGTGTGTGTGTGTGTCTTTTTGTGTGCACAAACATGTAAAGGAAACTAGAGGGAGTTCAGTGAAATATGACATATGTGATCAGATGTGACAAAAAATAAGAGCTATGTCTGGAGAAGCAGATGGGTCAGACAAAAGCTAGAATCAAGAGTGGCTTTGGGTACCACCAACTTTGGGTCTTGTTATATGGAGCAAAGACTTTTTCTTGAAGAGAAGGAGAAATCACTAAAAGAATGTAAGAGAAGAGCATGGTTAAATCTAGAGCTGGGTTGATGAAAGACAATTAGAAGCAAAGAAAAATATTAGGAAGCTATTGCATAATCTAGAAAAATATCAAAAGGTCTGATTGGGTTTGTGAAAGTGAAGATGAATAGAAGATACAGATTCAGGAATAATTAATGAATATTAATGAATCAAAGTAGTAGAATATGGTTCTTTATTGAATGTGTACAATGAGGAGAAAGCATGACTTCCCTATATCTGAGCCTGAGTGGCTATGCAAGTGATGGTTTCTCCATTGAAACAGAATGAAAAGGGGGAAAGGAAATTAGTAGGAAGATAAGCCTAAGTGTATTGAGCAGAGATGTGTATTAGAGAATTGAATATATAAACTGAAGTATGGAGGAATGTTGTTGGCTAGAGATGCATACATGTAAATATCAATAAGAGATATGTGTTAAAACCATGACAGTGGATGAGGTCACCCAGTAAGAAGGACAAGAGAGAAACATTTAGAGAAATACACTGAAAATGAGAATATTGCTGTATTATAGAAATCAATTGAGCAGAGAGTTTCAAAAAGAAAAAGTAATCGGTAGTTTCTTGTAAATAAAATAAAGAGTGTGGCTTTCAGGGCAGCATAAAGGCATGATAGGAGGCATGCTTTTGAACCCTATGAAAGTTCTCCAAACTTTATCATCCCTAGAACAATCCAGATACACCCTGAGTGCAAGATATTAAGATACTAATTTGAGACAGCAACTTAAACATTGAAACAATATAGAAGGAATATCTTTTTTTTTTTTGAGAGGTTTTTGCTATAAGGCACGTGCACTCACCAGAAAG